ATTTAAATCCCCAACACTGCCCAACTTTAAAAAAAATAAAATAACGATTTGAACTTTTAAAAGATTTTGGGCGGATTGGGTTTCAGTGAAAACATCTTCTAATTAAAAGATCATGACATTTATTTGTTCTTAGTGTCTGAAAGAAGCATTCCTGAAACAACACATCAGTGTTTATACTTAATGTACAAAGTTTGGAATAGGAGAAATCAAGTGGATGCAGAACTTGATTCAGTAAGAGCAGCTGACGCTCCTACTGAGCTTCACCTGCACTGGGAGCAGTTTAGAGTTTCACTTTCACTGCCTGTTAAGTTTCATTTTGACTCAGAGCCTTGTTCAGAAAAGGTAATGGGTGGACTTCAATGCACTTTAAGCAAATTCAACTAATCTTTGAAGGCTTTGTCCGTTTAGTTTCCAGGATCAGATACAATTTCACAATTTACACGTTTACTCACTGATGCTTAGATTTAAATATTAACTAAAGGTTGTAAAATCAGCGTGCACAGACCTGCCCTGCCATGTCCCAGGCCCCAAAAGTTTCCTCTTATCACCGTATGCAGCACGTTGACTCCACTGATATCGTTCCGCCCTTTAAAAGCCCTTCCCACTGTTACCTCTCTCTTTAGTTTCTTACATAATCCTTTACCTTGTTAAATATGTGGTGACATTTTGATGTTTCGGTGTTGTATGAAGCTGGAAAGCCTCTTGTACCCTGCTTTGAATGCCTAACAGACAAATAAATTAACTGATATTTAATTACAGCTAATTACAACTGATTGAGCCATTCATCATTTAGAAGATGGCAAACCTCCAGAGCAAACAGGAGGGGTGGAGCAAGCAATGTTTGGTATGAGAGATAATTTCCCAGCTGGTGTCACAGAAGAATGAAAGGATTCAAAGTTATAGCTATGAATGAATCTTTAATCCCCATGTTTGTTTTAACCCTGGAGAACCCATGGGGTCAAATCTGACCCCATGGGTTCCCTAGTAAACCAATGGGGTTGGCTCTGACCCCATGGGTTCTCCAGGGTTAAGAAATGAACTATTTCTTCTGTAAATTTGTTCTGGGTTTTTCTGCTATTTTTTCCTTCTTCACTGAAGATTTCTATTGTTTGAAACTTACACCGCCCAGCCTCCGCCTGTGTGTCAGTGCTTTGTCTCACTTCGTGTTTTTATAGTGACACAAAGGATTGACGTGGTTGGGCCTACCTGCCGGGACTCCGCCTTGCCGTAGCGCAGCTCATTGACAAAATGCTCGCAGTTTCTCCTGACGACGCAGTACGGCAGCACCTGGCCCACCAGCATGCGGGCCTCCCTCACAATGACACCAGGCGAGTGCGGCTCGTACTTCTTGTCCAGACTGTTGCTGATTTTCCACTCATCAGTTCCCACCACGTCCCACAGCCCATCTTTCTTCACCAACGCCTTCTCGGTTATGACAGACATCACGCTGCTGGAGCCGGCATCCGGGACCTCAGCTGGGGACAAAACCCACTCAGTTTACATGCTGAATATTGCAAGAATTTGAGTTGGCTGTACCCCAACAAATAATTTACATTGTGTTCTGTCCTGAAAACCCACATCACAGAATCTGCATGTGGCCTCTCAGATAAGCTGCTTTTTGTTTTCAGTGATGGGGTTTGGGGGAAGGAGTCCAGACAGTGTGTGTGTATATGTGTGTGGAGGGACTCACAGGGTGGTGCCAAGTGAACAACGAAGCCATCGCCAATGTACACAGCCCAGTGCTGGTAAGAGCCACGAAAGATCTCGATTAAATCTCCAGGCTCTGGCTTTTCATCATACTTGGATTAGAAGAGAGGGGAAAAATGTTTGAATTTCCAAAAGAGTGTGTTTGGCAATAATTGAAGCACGTTTGACCCGATCACGCTGACTCGCTTTAAATAGAAATCAGCGTGATGTAATAAACAGCTCTGAGGCTATAAATGCCATCACATTCTTTTACTAACCAGTGTTGGGGCCATGTCAGCCTGTCTTTGGTCTGCGAACTTCCGATTTATTGGACTTCCTGACGACTTTCAGCTGTAGGGATTAAAGATAAATAAATAAATAAAAGTACACATCAGATTTAAGCACACCACGTGATACATAATGAAAGTAAAAGACCGATAAATCTAATAACACTTTAAATATCTGTATGTTTTTGCACACCAAACCGGGCTAGATCCTTCCTGAGCTGAACAGCGCCCCTCTTAAAAACAGCTGCAGGATTGTTGATGTTCCTAATAAACTGGCACATTAGCATAACCTCTGCATAACCTCTTTCGTGGAAATAAACGCCAAAGAAGCGAATGTTAGAGAAAAGCTCGCACTTTTAGAGACTTATATATCAAAATAAGTCACAAAGAGTGCTTAAAAATCGCACACGAAGAAGATTAGCCAGAATTGGTCCGTGTTTGCATCACCCAAAAGCTGTGAGGTAACACCATCATTCACGCGACCCTCAGCTGTGGGAGGTCTTTGATCGGGTTAATGCCTTACCTGCAGCGACCAGACTCTTCTTCTCCTTCTTCTGTTCTTATTGCGGTTGTCAAAACGATCTCGAACCCTTTCGTTTTGAAATGAGAGACGTCGCCGACGCAAACGTCAAAAGCTCACTCGCGAGCGATCAGCTGATTCGTGCGCGTGCTCAGTGCCCTTCAAAATAAACGCGTGGCAGTATTTTATTTGTCTTTTTTAAGCGTCAGGTGATTTTTAAGATGACTTTTAAGATGACTGATTGTTTAAGCAAGGTGCAAGAATATTACAAGAAAACGCGTGAATATTTAATGATGTGATAAAATTAAGTGTGAAGGAATCAAGAGTCTGCTTTTGTTTCAGCTACAAATACCTACACTTTTTATTTTCTTTCTTTTATAAATGTGTGATTTTATCATGGGTAAATTTCATTAAAAATATTTAATTTATGTATAATTTATTCGCATTTATTTTGTTATTATTTATTTTTGTTAATATTATTTTTATTTGACCTTTTTTGGTCCGGCAGGTGCTTGACTTTAAAGTCTAATTTCAACAAATAACGACATTTTCTTTCTCTTAAATCGCCGGTTTATTATCCGCCACCCCCTCTCTTTCTTCTTTCCGTGATCAGTTATGATGGCCACGTGCAGAAAAACACGTAACTCAACCTTTAAAACCCCCAACACTTTCGGTTTAAATATAACTGAGAACTAAATCTTCACGAGGATTTTTTTTATTGCGTGACGACGTGACGACGTATGCTTGTTTGCTTCAGTAGGAAGTCAAAAATTGCTGGAGTTTATATTTGTACAGTTTAAATGTGGGGTGTCAAACAAGGGGATAGATCCGGCTCTTCTAAAGGTCCTGATGGCAGGATTGTTAAACAGAAGGGAACTGTAGATATGTTTGAATGCTGTTTTTTCTTAATTAACACTGTCCATGTAAAGCCTGTCTGTCTTGTGAGCTGCAGATGGTGACATCCTTGTAATGACAGCAGACTAAAGTGAGAGTGGGAAAAAATGTTGAAATTATATATGTTTTTCTTGCCATGTTTTATGTTATTCATCATCTGATGGTCATTAAATGAGAAAAATGAGCAGATCGTTAATGGTTTTAGCTGTTTTTAAATGTTACTCTTTCAAAATGTATCCTTCGCATCTCAAAAAAAATTAGTCATGTATTTGTGTCTTGATGCATGCTCAGTCATCCAGGTAGGTAAACCCCAAAAGGTTGATTATGTTCATCTGAATGTAGCGTTTTCAATGGGAGAAACGTTTCATCACTCATCCGAGTGACTTCTGCAGTCTCAGCTGACTGCAGGTCACAGCCATTGATCAATGGTCAGACCATTAAACAGTGGTTGCTGATCAATGGTCATGACAGTTTGCATATTAATAATAAAGGAACTGACCTCACAGCCCACTGTTCGTCAGTGGTGCTAGTTGTGCTGTTTTCTCCATTTATGGATGATGTCTCTCAACGTGGTTCACTGCAGTCCCAAAGCTTTAAAATGGCTCTTAACCGGTTCCAGACTGATAGATGTCACTGACTGCTTCTCACACGTTCATAGGTTTCTTTAGATGGTGGGATGATGTGCTGCTTTTTGAAAGGAGCAATTACTTTTTCGCAGAGGGCCAGGTAGACTTTTTATGCCATTAAATCAAATCTTAATTTCCAAACTGCATTTTGAATTAATTTGGGTACTTATTTATTATTTAATATCAAAATTTATTGGATGATCCGCAACATTTATGCCCATATGCAAAAAGAAATTAGGAAGGGAGCAAATACATTTTCACTGCACTGCCTGTCACCCTGTGAAAACTTTGGCAGCATCACGGAACTCTTTTTTATTTATTTTAACTACAAAAATCATCCTTATTCAATATAATTTTCTCCCCTGATGAACTTCACCCCACCTGGAGTGGCCTGTGTTAAATTTAAATTCAACATGAATTGAAAACCAGGATCATAGAAGTCATCTAAATAAGTGGAATGACAGGGAATGAAATTTAAAAAGTAGCAATAATGCTCCTATAGGTTGATATCCGAATATCAGCAAATAGGAAAACATTAACTGCTGGCAGCGGCTGATGTTGACTAATGTGTTTGTAATGAATATTTCACTGTATATTCGGCACAACTGGAGAATAAATACCACAATTTTTTCTCAGTTTTGTATTATTATTATTATCATTTTAAATATCTCTGCTTAAAAGCTTGTATTCCATTAGTAAAGTTAGATAATTAAGTCAGTACTGAAACACATAATAAAGGACACAGAATTAATATGTATCATTTTAAAAGTTAATGTTATTAATTTGTTGTTGTTGTTGTTGTTTTTTTTACCTAAAATATAATTATTAATTTACAAAAACTACGTACTATGATGATGAACTTTTCCTTCATTTTTTTTCTCTCCCATGTCCCTTGCGGGGCTCCGTAACGTACTATGTAATAATCAGGCGAGCTAATTTGATTTTTCTTTGCTTTATCTCTGTCGAGTAGAAAGCAGCAGCAGCAGAAATAGACATGACCACTGGGTGTCGCCAAAGACTTCCGCGGTCCGCTTGACGTTTCCTTTTTCTAACAGCGAAGAACTCCCAACTTCCGGCTTCGGAGCGCCCTTTCGTTGTATTTTGTCCTGAAATTTGGTTGCGAAGGCAACAAAAAAGCTGCCATAATCGCTCAAGTCGAAGCCCCACGGCCGAGAGGTGGATTCGCTGTGATGTTTTGATGTTTACCGACCGAGCGATGTCTGTGGTGTTTGACGGGAGCCCGCTGAAAGCGATGCAGAGCTCACACACTCACACACCGCAGACTGCCCTGAGGTGAGTGGCAGATATGACACAAGAAGTGCATCCGCAAGATTAAGTCCCACAGCACACGTCTCCTGCTCGGGGTTAACTGTATGAAGAGCAGTGGGGCATACATTTATATTTCTGTGCATGATTAAAGTTAGTGCTTTAATCCTAGAGTGCATGCTTTCACCTTAAAGAAGACAAAACACAGTAAACACCTAAATTTGATTTGATCACTTTGATTAGTTTAAAGTCGTATCAAGCTTATGTTTTTACTTATCAGTGAAATAACAAAATATTTTTCATTACGAATACTTTCTGTGCAAGGTTAAAAAAAAAGATTACTTCACTGGATCAAAATTAATCTGCTGCTTTTCTAGTAATAGTCAAGTGTTTTTTCCTTGATGTGACAACAGTTCTTTGGCTGTCTTTTCTTTTAAATGACTAATCAATTAATTAATTGATGAAATAATTATCAGAAGAGTTATGATCAATATAACCTCAACAAGGGCTCAGATTGGGCCATATAAGCTTGAATGGTTCACATATAGTTAAAATGGGACCACAGTCTAAAGTATGTTGGATGGCACGTGACTGATACTTGGCCAACTAATGTTGTTAACGCTGTAAACCTGGACACTTCTTGGTTTCATTATATTTATTAAATTCTACTTTTAGGACAAAGAGAATACTAACAAATTAAAGATAGAAATTATTGTTATTTTGATCATCACATAATCAATATTATTTTAAACATTTAAAAAAAATCCAGATCCAGATTTAGAATCTCGATTTTTAATCTAGAGCTCATAAAATAACAAGTGAATGCCTACAAAAGCCCAAACTGACGACCATCAACTAATAGTTTTGTTTGACTTGAACATAATTTGTTCATAATGTTATAAAACAAAGAACAGCAGGACATACTGGCATTTCTTCAGTGTTGTCATTGGTCAGTTCTCCACACGTAGTTGAGCTTAAATCAAAAGACCAAGCTTCTACATTTTAATAATAACACCAGTTACTTGCTAGCTTTGCCACTTGTAGTTCTTATATATGTTGTGGAAGGAAGTTTTATTTGTCACAGGATGTCACTTTTGGTTCTGTAAGGCCTTAATGGGTGTTGTTCACAACTTCTTCATATATTCACACAGAATATTTTAGCAGTGATGTATTTTTAGATCATTATGGCCGTCCTTATCATTTTTAGCTTGTTGGTGAGACACCACTCACTTTCCTCATGTCTACTTTCTCCTTCTCTAGTACCCAGGAACTGTCTCAGGAGATCAAGTCCTTCATCAGTGGCGTTGACACCGTTCAGGGCCGGAAGCTTAGCGTCCGAGAACATGCTCGATGCGCTGTGCGCCTGCTGCGCTCAGTCCCGGCCTGTCGTGGGGCGGTCTTGGAGCATCTGCGAGGCGTGTACGATGAGCATGTGTCCGCCTTCCTGCACAACCTAGAGACGGAGAGTAATGCCAGCACTGGGGTCAGCTCCAACCTGGAGGACATTATACAGGTGTGACTACAAAAATACACCATCATAAAATAAATATGCACTCTAAAAAAGATTTTTAAAGGTAAATTTGTTTTATTATTTCTTTTGTCTGTAGGAGATTCACGCCGTGCTGTCAGAGTTCATCCGTCTCAACCCCCGAGCCTGGGCCCCTCTAGTGTCCACCTGGGCTGTGGATTTACTGGGCCAGCTGAGCAGCAAGCATGCTGGGCGCCGTGTCGCCCCCCACTCCTCCAGCCTCAATGAGCTGCTTCAGCTCTGGATGTCTTGTGCTGCCACTCGATCTCTCATGGAAGCCTACTCTCAGTGTCTGGCTGCAATGCTGGCCTGGTGCCCCGATGCCTGTGTCGATGCTCTTTTGGACACTTCAGTTCAGCACTCCCCTCATTTTGACTGGGTGGTGGCTCACATTGGGTCTGCCTTCCCCGGTACCATCATCAGCCGAGTGATGGCATGTGGACTGAAGGACTTCTGCTCTCATGGTGCTAAGGACCAAGGGCTGCTTGTAATGGGAGTGGATAAAGGCAGCAGAGTGCCAAAGATCGGCTCAGTGGTGGGAATCCTTGGACACCTCGCCGCTCACCACTCCGACAGCATCCGGAAAGAGCTGCTGAGGATGTTCCAGGAGAGTCTCAATCCGTCGAGCCCTCTATCTCCAACCTCATCTTCAACATCCTGGGAAAGCTCCCCTCAGCTTCGTCGTGCTGCGGTGCCGTTTCTCCTGCAGCTGGCAGCAATGTCCCCAAACCTTTTTGGTCCTGTGTCTGCAGAGCTCGTCGAGTTGTTGCGCCCCCCTGTCCTGCTCCAGCTACAGGCCGTGCTGCAGGGCCTCCCCAGAGAGGAACTGGATAACATGCTGG